CAATTAATCTCAGACCCATGTAAGACAGAACAGACCAAGGTAGATCAGAGGAGGGCAGGTTTTTCTGCTGCCCACCCAAACAAAGCCTCCGGCATTCTCTTGATCCCACAATCCAAAATCACCACCATGCCCTCTGCCCAAACCTCACCAAGATATTAATCTGCTGAAAGTTCAGGTATGTGGTTTTTGTGACTAATCTCCAGGTTTTCTCGGGATCACTATGAGCTACCTTCCCCACACCTCCCTGTCCCTCCAAAAGCCCCGACAGTCATGTTCATACCCCAAAACTGCCACCCAGTTAAAAATAAGCTACTCCTGATATACTTTCACAATAAAAATACTGAATGCCCTGAACAAACATAAAGACCTCTTAGCACCTATACTACACACCATAATGCACAAATGGAGAAGGGGGGTGTGGGGGAAGAAGGTACCTGTCATAGAGCAGGCAGGGAAGGGGAGACTGGAGGGTAATGAGAGGGAAACTGGAGATATCGGTGATGGAAAACGTATACAGTAGTGGAGGGATGGGTGTTGTAACATTGTATGACTGAAATATAATCATGAACAGCTTTATAATGGTCTACATCAAGGGAATTCAATAAAAATAAGTAATTGTGTGTGTATACATACTTGTGGGGGAGGCGCTATGAGAAGATGGCTTTGAGGGGTATGAAGTACATGCACTGTATATAGTCGTCCCAGATTGAAACCCTGGCACCACATGGTAACCTGGGCACTGCTGGGAGTACTCCCCAGCATCGCCAAATAGGAAGTAAAATGAAAAATGAGAGTTCTGAAAAAAAGGAATACCTACTGGGGCCTAGTTCAGGGATTAAGAAAGCTGCCCTGCAAGGATGAATCATGCATTCAGTCCTGGGTGCTGCCACACAAGCAGAACATGATCCTGGCAGCAATGCTGGCTGAACCTGGCAGCTCTTTAAGCCCTAGTGCCACAGCAGTTTTTGATCATACTACAACCAGGTATATGTGAGCACAACTTAAGGGGGGAGGGGAGGGAAGAGCACAAGCACTAGGGTCAAGAGATGCAGTCTCTGTCAAGTGTGTTAACACCAGTCAGCCCCAGCAAGCACTTCAACCAGAATACACACGATTCCCTGCCACTGCAATTAAAGGTCCCAGAGAGCGCCACAGCCAAGTGACCAAGTACCAGTACCAGATGTGCAGGAAGCTGGAGTGTTAGTAGGATGTGCAAGGAGGCTGGAGTGTTAGGAGAACGCTTGCCTTGCAGGAGCTAGTCCTGACTTTGCTCATGAGTGACCCCTGGTGGTGCTCAGGACCATATGCAGCAACAGGGATTTGAACCCAGGTTGAATGCAAGCACCTTGCCCTCTGTACTATCCCTCCAGCCCTACGATCCCTCTCCCATTAATTTTTAAAAAAGAAACACAGGTGACTCGAGAGATTATATAGCAGGTAAGGCACTTTCCTTGTACACAGCTGACCCGGGTTCGATCAGCAGCAGCCCACAGGGTCCCCATGAGCCCACTAGGAGGGATTCATTCCCTAAGCACTGCTGCTTATGAACAGCAGCTTCTTGCAAGCACTACAAATGAAAGGGCAAGAGGCTCAGCAAGTGGTGTGTGGGAGTACCAGTCATCACAGGAGCAGAGCAGAGAGCAGAGAAGGGAAGAGATGGGGGAAAGAAAAAAGTGTGTGTCAAAACACAAAATTCTCCTGAGGGCAGGAGCAACAGTATAGCAGATAGGGCACTTGCCTTGTACACAGCCAACCCACATTTGATCCCCGGCACTCTTCATGGCCCTCCAAGCCCTGCCAGAAGTAATTCCTAAGCACAGAGCCAGGACTAAGCCGTGAGCACAGCCAGGTGTGGGGGGGAAAAAAAGCATGAGAAGAAAACTGTAATGTAAACAAAGTGTAATGTAAAGGAAAACTCCAAACAAACCCCAAATGCTAACAAAAGATCTGACATACAATTACAATATAGCCAAGGCACACATTGAAGGAAAAAAAAAATCCATCTCTCAGGACAGAGGCTGTTGTATTATTTTACCCATTTTCCAAGTTTTCTTTAATATACTACGACTTTTTTAAGTTTAGCAGCAAAAAAAAAAAAAGTGGGGCTGGAGCGATAGCACAGCAGGTAGGGCATTTGCTTTGCACATGACCAACCCAGGTTCAATTCCCAGCATCCCATATGGTCCCCCGAGCACCACCAGGAGTAATTCCTGGTGCATTGCCGGGTGTGACCCAAAAAGCTAAATAAATAAATAAATAAAGTTTTGGGGCCAGCAGTACTCAAGGATCACTCCTGTTGGTGCTAGGGAGACCATATGTGGTGCTGGGAATCAAACCCAGCAAGTGCCCTGCCCACTGTTATCATCGCTCCAGGGAAGTTTTTATAAATTTAACATTTTTACTTTACTTTGAGTTAACATAATTTAACATAATTTACTTTGAGTAAACATAATTTAACATAAGAGTAATGACGAACTGGATATAGTACAAGGGTTAAGGTCCTCCCTTAACCCTTTTTTGGAGCTTTTTTGGGCTGGAGCGATAGCACAGCGGGTAGGGCGTTCGCCTTACAAGCGGCCAACATGGCCGACCCGAGTTCGATTCCTCCGCCCCTCTCAGAGAGCCCGGCAAGCTACCGAGAGTATTCGATATGCCAGACACAGTAACAACAAAGTCTCCAATGGAGACGTTACTGGGCCTGCTCGAGCAAATCGACGATCAACGGGAGGGCCTTTACTTTTACTTTACTTTAAGGTCCTGCCAACCCAGGTTCAATTCCTGAGACCACATATTGTTCTGAGTCCCACCAAGAGTGGTCCTTGAGTGTAGACCCAGGAGTTAAGCCCTGAGCAACATCAGCTGTGGTGAAATAAACAAAAAATTGCAGGCCTAGACAACGTTAGAATATCCTTGTTCACTAAGCTTAACTATTTACTACTCTCTCTTTGTTTGATCCTCCCAATTAAATCTGGGCAAAATGAGTAATACACTCCCTAAGAGTAATATGCACATGGCCAGAAAAACCATACAGAAGGAAAGGCACTTGCCTTATATGTGGCAGACCCAGTTCCATCCCCAGCACTACATACAGTTCCTTGAGCGTCATCAGGAGTGACCAGTGCCAGGAACAGCCTGTGCACCAGCAGGTGTGAATCAAAAGTAAAAAGAAATATACCTTTTCTAAAAGAGTGATATATCAAGAGGGAGGGTGCGGCTCATTAGAGAGAACATGCCTTACATTTCTAAGGCCCTAGGTTCAATTCCATGTTGAGGAGTTGGATAGGGGGAAGTATGCTGCTCAACCCAGTTCAACACTGTTGTCCCCTGAGCATCACAAGGAGTGACCCTTCAAGCAGATAGCCAGGAGCAGCCCCTAAGCACTACTGGGTATAGCAAAACACACACACACACACACCCCAGCCCTGAACAAAAAAACAAAAAAGAGACCAGAAAGTACAGAATGCAGCCTACCTCAGTTCAATCCCTGGTACCCCAGATAGTTCGAGCCCACCAGGAGTGATCCCCAAGCCAGAAAGAATCCCTGAACTGGGAGTGACCCAAAATCCTACTCCCAAAAAAAGCCCTGGGGGCCCTGAAAGATAATATAGGGATTAAAATTTAACCAAGGACATGACACATGATCCCCTTAAGCAATTCCAGGAGTGATCTAGGGATTAAAATTTAACCAAGGACATGACACATGATCCCCTTAAGCAATTCCAGGAGTGATCCTTGAGTATCCTTTTTATGCATCCCCCTTCCAAAAACAGAAAAAAAGAAAAAGTTTAGGGGCTGGAGCGATAGTACTGAGGGTTTGGTGTTTGCCTTGCACAAGGCTGACACAGGTTCGTTCTCCAGCATCCCATATGGTCCCCCAAGCACCGCCAGGAGTAATTCTTAAGTGCAGAACCAGCAGTATACCCTGAGCATCACCGGGTATGACAACAAAAAAAAAAAAATTTAGAATACCCACATTCTCAAAGAATGCCCTTCTGAAATTTCCTTTGGCTAACTGATGATAACAGAGCGAAGTGAGAAGTCAGAAAGAACTGGGTATATGGCTCAGTAGTAAAGCATATACCTTTCATATGGATTCAATTCCTGACACTACAAAAAATAGAGGAACTAACAGAAATAAAACGAGAAAAATTTAAAAAAATTAGTACTTACATTTGAAAAATTGGCTACAATGTCAGGGCTAGAAAATGGAGTGCTCTCAAATTCTTTTCTGATGTAATCCAAAATATTAAGCTATCTAGAAATAGAGATCTACTACAGCATGTAATACACTTGCCTTTCATGCAAGTCCATCCCAGTTCAATCCCAGGCATCCCATGTGGTCCCCAGAGCCAGGAGTGATTCCTGAGTACAAAGTCAGAAGTAACCGCTAACCACTACTAGACATGGCCCAAAAACCAAAACATAAAAAGTTATCTATGTATTGTAACTACTTACCTTCATAAGTATTATAAAAACATATAGCTCTGATAGCACAGCAGTAGGGCGTCTGCCTTGCACGCAGTCAGCCCGGCCAAGCCAGGTTCGATTCTTCCACCCCTCTCGGAGAGCCCAGCAAGCTACCGAGAGTATTTCGCCCGCACAGCAAACCTGGCAAGCTACCCGTGACATATTCAATATGCCAAACACAGTAACAACAAGTCTCAAAATGGAGTCATTACTGGGCCCGCTCAAGCAAATCGATGAACAACAGGAGGGCAATGCAGTGCTACAGTAAGTTAGCATTCAAATTTTAGAGTGATAATACAGCCTGTCTTGTAGTCTAATTTATCTGAACCATCACACCATCCTTACTGGGTACTCCAAATTCCAAACTGCCATTCCAAGTCTGAAATTATACCCTGGGCAAGCATCGACCAAGATAGTCAATCCTGCTAATGATTAACGAAAGGAAAAGAGTCTGCTGATAAGCTAGTTTTCCAAAATGTTAATAACAAAAAAAGTCACAGACAACAACTGTTATTAGTTACAGAAATTTTTACCTGCAGTATCAAAAAGTCCAAGAGTATATGGCTCTCCACCAATCATAACAGTGACTGCATAGTTGTCAAAAACCTAAAAACATAAAAAGAAAAGACATTTCTTAAGAAACAGCATTGTTTCCTTTCTAAGACAACTTTCTATTAGTCAATGTTCCTTACATTAATTACCTTATCAACTAAGACCTATCATGAGCTAAGAGGTTCTTTGGAAAAGTGACAGGGAGTATGTTTAAGAATATATGCTCAACCCTTCTCCCCGCCCAGATGAGATCCCGAGTTACCGCCCACAAACAGCCCCTCCACTGCTGAACAGCCATGATCCCAGAAGCACACAAACCAGTCTCAGAGCCCAGTGGTTTCTGGCAGAAATGCTTCAGGACTGTGAACTAAGCTACGGTCCATGCCACCCCGGGAGGGTAAGGGTGTTTGTCCCTCCACCTTTTCCCCCTCGGCAGCAGCATGGTGACCACCATCTTTCAGAGCCTGTTGGACACAGAGGTACGAGCAGTGCGGGGACATGCAGGGCCTCTCCGGATGGGGGATGGAACTGGCCCTTCTCCCCGCCCAGATGAGACTCTGAATTGCTGACAATGAACGGCTCCTCCACTCCCAAATGGCCATGATCCCAGAGGCACACAAACCAATCTCAGAACCCAGCAGCTACTGGCAGAAATCCTTCTGGACTTTATTACTAAAATACCAGAAATCCAAAATCACGCGACCCACGTGACATCACATGCTATTCGTCATCAGCAATAGAAAACAAATTATCTAATAATGCCTTTTCGGCAGGTCTGATTGTTGGAGGAAAATTCCATATAATAGTGGGTCTTCTGTCAAAAAACATTGAATGTAACAAAAGAGAGAGTAAAGTGAAAATCATCTGCCACACAGGCAGGGGGAGGGGTGGCACAGGGATACACTGGGGTTCTTGGTGGTGGAACATGTGCACTGGTGAAGGGATGGGGTTTGATCATTGTATGACCGAGACTTAAACCTGAAAGTTTTATAACTATTCTCTCCAACCCCATCATTTTCCTTTCAATGTCCAAGACATGAAGGGCACTGCTGCAAAAAAGACCATTAGGGAGAAAGGTTCCCTCAAGTACTCAAGGAAAAGTGTCCATGAAAAGGGTACCCAATTATTTGCTGAGATTTCATGAATAAAACAGACAGTCGGTATAAACTACATGCTCTAGCATATCTTATTTAACTAGATGCTTCATTTATAAATAGGCTCTTAAGGAGCATGACAAACTCATATATATCATTAATCTTCTACTAAGCTATTTGTGAAAATGTGAGATAAAGGTATGAAATGAACAAAGACTCAACACCAATTAACAAATTCCTTCGGATTAATTTATAAATGAAAAATAATGCTTTCCAACTAGGAGAAAGCTTCTACGTTTGAAAAAATAGCTGTGCTTAAACTTTTAGTTATCTAATAATATTTTAGAAATATAAAAATCTACTTTTTAGTTGATATTTTACTGAGTTCTTGGGGGATTATTTAAATGTAAACAAGAGTGGAGGAAAGGACATGAGGAGATAAAGGAAAACCAGTTCTTGATACTAAAACAAGGAAATGCAAAGGATGTGGCTAAACTAAGCCTAAACTCTCCCTCTGAAAGATCCACAAACATACCTAAAAAACTCAAGATACAAAACACCCACAAGCCCACCTTAAATAGAACACCTAACCATAATCATAGAACAGGCTCAGAAATCATGTGTATGAGAAAATAACTTATGGGGCCAAGAGGAGATAGTAGAGAAAGTGTTTACCTAACAAGTGGCTAACCCACTTATATTCGATCCCTCGATCCCTGGCACTGGCACCTCGTTCGGTTACCCAGGCCCTGATAGGAATGATACCTGAGAACAGAGCCAAGGGTAATCACTGAGCACTCTGGCTATGGATCACAATTTCCTTTTTTTTTTTTTTAAGAAAATAACTAATGGAATAGAGAAAAAATTCTGATTCTCACTCTGAAATGCCCCATATAAATCCCCTTTCAACCTCAGAGTTTCTTTCACTTACTACTCTTTCCTCTTCCTCTAGGTTTCACCTATCTCAAACACTCCACTGGACATTACAGACAGTCAATTCCAATCCAACATAAATATAAGTCTTTTAACCTGCATTCATGTTCTTAATAATGCTCATGTCTAAAGATCAACCTAAAGGACTCGTACACTTTCTGATTTTTTTACTTGCAAACAACACTAAGTATATATAGGTGCTCCATAACCTCTAAAATAGCATACTTAACAGGGCGGTAGTTGGTCAGGCCAACTCTTAACTCCCCTCTCACCACTAAATGGACACCTATGCTTAACGTAATTATAGCACTGGGATGGGCAACCAACTGAGACAACACTGGACTCCCAAACATGTCCCTTCACAAATGAATGTTATTCTAAATAACTCATCATTATCTTTTAGCTGATGAAAAGTACTGGTGAGAGAGGCCCCCTCCAAAGACTGCCGTTGTTCTCTTCAAAATAGGTCTTCTCTTCCACTAACTAAAAGCCAAGTCGGAGCTCCGTAACTACAAGATAACTCTTCATGACTCTCTTCTAAGGAGAAAAGAGTCTCTGTTACCTAAGGAGAACGGAGACTTTTTCTGAAGTTAAAATATTTTAAAAAATAATAATAATTAAAACCAAAAAAATCCCAAAAGACCTCCAAGCTCTGAATATCAATGAGTGGCCAAGACATTTTTTAAAAAGTGTCACCTCGTTTCAAGCTGCAGGGCTTACAATTCTCCAGAGACCACCACTCATAAGAATCTTGTCTATTGGTCTTCTGGGTTTTCTGCCTCCTAGCACTTCCTGCAAACCCTGTGTCACCCCTTCTAACTTTTCATTGATTTTTCAGCTCTTTGTTTTTAAAGAGTAAATTACATAATTTGTTCATGAGAAGTCAAGATCTTTAAAATTAGAAACAAAGATAGGTAACAGAAAAATTACAAAATGCACAGATCTTTTTTTTTTTTCAAAAAATAAAAGAGATCAAATTAAAAGATTTTACTAAGAAATGTTGGTACATAGGATAGAAACCTTTATACTTACCGTTGGTACATACTCCGATGGAAATTTGTTTGTTGTATAGGATATCAGGAGACATGTTTTACCAACAGCACCATCGCCCACAACAACACACTTAATTGTCTGCATTGCTGAAACAGTTTTGTATTCACTTTACTTCAAATTCAATGATGACCTACAAAAAGATTAAATAAAGGTATTTGTCTCGAGGCCAGAGAAAGAGTACAGAAGGTATCAGTCGATGGTGCCCAGAGCCCTGCCACAAGAGGTTCTCATTCACACTTAAGATTTTTTTTTTCCAATAACAAAAGATTCACTCATTCTACTCAGACAAATAACAGAACTAGCACCCCAAATGCTATGGTTAAAAGAACCCAAAAGAGAGGCCAAGAGAGACAGTAAACAGTTTAATAGGCTCCTGCTTTCAATTATATATTTATCCAAGTACTGCCAGGAATGACCCCTTGATAGTCAGGAGTATTAGCCCCTAAGAAGTGCAAGTGTGGCTTGAAAACAATAACAAATAGACAAACCTAAAAAGAAAAGCAATGATTCACACAATGTACAGTAAGTCATTTTTTAAAATTTCTAATTCCTGGTTGCTTTTCATTTCTAAACTGTCTGAAAAATCCCAAATAGAGACTAGGCTGAGTACATACTTTGCATGCAGGAAGCCCAGACTCAATCCCCAGAACAAGATCTTTCAGCACATCCAGAAGTGGACACGTTCCAGTAGCCCCCAGCAGACACCTTGTAGACCAAGCACTGCCAAACTACTAAGTGTGGCCAAAAAACAGTCCCAAGTAATATGAAGTGAAGGCCAGAGAGAGCACTACAGGGAAGATATTTCCCTTGCATAAGCCCAACCTGGCTTGATCCTTGGCACCACATAGGGTGCCCAGAGGCAACCAGGAACAATCCAAAAGCAAGCAGTAAGCCCTAGGGACAGCCAGGTGTGACCCAAAAACAAAAACAGAGTAACGCAAAGAGTAGTATATTTTTATAAGATGAAGGAAAGAAGCTATTAAAAACTGAAAACCCTGCAAGGTGGCATATTCACCTCAACTGAGGATGATCGCATGCAAGAGCCCTACCTGCCACACAATTTCTCCAGTCCCCAAATATTTCTTAGCTAACCAAAGATTTCTATATTATTTTCGTTCACTATTTAGAGTGGTCTCTAAAATCAAGTTATTAACTGGTGTTAACAAAATGTAAAAAGATCCAGTAACATTAGCTTTAAGCCCAAATTAAATTCTTTTTTCTAGCTTAGAATTAATTACCATTCCCTTAAGTGCAAACTACTGAAAATCTGTCAGTTGTTATAATCGACTCTCCTTTTGCTACTTGAATTCAGCCTCTAAACCAGTCAATTCCAAAATTCATATCCAGACTACCAGCAATAATTACCTGGAATGGGTTTGTTACAAATTCAGGTCTCTGTACAGTGTGGCTAAGGTTGCTGTGTAAGCAGTCATTCCATCCTAGATACTACATATGATCCCATGAGCTCAGGGGCAGAAACCACTATCACCAGTATCACCAGGTGTGGCCCAAAATTTTAAAAAATAAAATAAAATAAATAGAACCATGAATCCTCACCCAAAATCTAATGAAACTGAACTCTCTGTATCCTGAGAGATAGTACAGTGCATGGGGCACTTGCCTTGCACACTCCTGATCAGGGTTCAATTCCTGACTCTGCATATGGTCTCCCAAGCACCACCAGGAATGACCAAGTGCAGAGCCAGGAGTAGGCTCTGCATACCACCAGGAGAGGCTCAAAAGGGGAGGGGGAGCAAGGTGAGTTTGAATTCCCTGCAAACCTCACATTGGATACTGAGACGTCATCCAAAATATTTCAGACATGCTTTAATTACTAGATGAACCTAAAAGTGTTACCAGTAATAATGTGATTCGAACAAAAAATATAAAATAATAATAGTGCCAGCAGTAAACACTAGGTGCCATACACTTTTCTAAATATATAATACGTACTTCTACATTTCTCACTGCCATCATCTAAGTAAGTGAAGCTCACCAGTAAAAGATTAGTCAGTAATTAAAACAAATTTAAACAGAAGCAGTCTCTCAAGTCCCTACACCAAAACACTACTCTTTCTCCTGAGAAGTGACAATTTAAAAAAAAAAAAAATGCATGGGACTGAAGCAATAGTACAGCTACAAGGGCACTTGCCTTGCACACACCTAACCCGGGTGATCTCTGTCATCCCTTAAGGTTTCCTGGAGCCCCACCAGCAGTGATCCCCGAGCTCAGAGCCAGGAGCACTCTGAACACAGCCGGGAGTGAAGCAAAAAAAAAAAAATTAAAAACAAGTATGATTACTAAAAATGGAGAGATAAGAATAACATATGACAATGGCTGGCACTGAAAAAAGGAAGACAGAAGAGGAAGCAAGAAACATGAGCTAAGTTATTTCCTGTTTCTTCACCTTGCAAACAACTACGAAATTCTACTGGGAGAAGAGAAGCAAGAAGTGAGAATTAGTAAGATTAGGAAGAGGTTTTCTCTTCCCTTTCTTTACATTGATAAATCTTGCATTTCTTAGACTTCCTGATCTAACAGCTCAGCAATCTTTCAGGAAACTGGGGTTTCATTAAGAATAAGGGTAGAGTGAGACTGTTTCTACCGTCTAGCTATAATGACCTGAAGCAAATTATTTAGTATCTCCCTGTGGCTCATTTTCCCCTGCTAAAAAACAAAACTAAGTGATACCTTCCTCATAAGGTAAAGTGAGTAACACACGTAAAGAAGCTCTCTCTCTCTCTTGAATACTTGGTATTCCTCTCTCCCATCATCTAAGTTTCTTTCAATAAATACAATGTATCTGTAGAGACAGTACAGCAGGCAGGGCACCTGCCTTGTAAGCCACTGTTCAAGTATGATTCCCAACATCCCACCTGATCCTACAAACACTACCAGGAGTAGTAGCTCAGAGCCAGAAGCAACCCCTGAGCATCACCAGGTGTAGCCCAAAATACAAACAAAAAACATACGGTGTATGTGTGTTTTGATATATATCAGAATCCCTAAAAGTCTGCCGATACTCTGGAGAAATTTAAGTGTATTTCCTGAAACATTAACAGTACTAGTGCCTAAATAAAAATTTTAAAAGGCAACTGAGGCAGAGTCAGTACAGCCAGTAGGGCATTTTGCCGTGCATGCGGTTGGCCCAGGTTCGATCCCCAACACCCTATATGGTTCCCCAGCACTGCCAGGAGTCTTTCCTGAGTGCACAGCCAGGAGTAACCCTGAACATCGCCAGGTGTGAACAAAAAAGTCAAAAAATAAAAATTAAAAAGGCAACAACAAATAAAAAAGGGTGGGGAGATGGTGCAACAGTCTAGAGACTTGCTTTGCATGCGGAAGCTTGGGACCTGGCCAAGAGGCAGGGGAAGCAACTCCCCAATCAGAGTCCACTATACACCACACTAAGGATAGCCTAGAAAACTAATAAATATAAAATAAATTTAAGACATCAAAGCAATATGGAAGCCACACAGTACCACCATTTTGCTAAGCAGAACATGTAGAAATGTTATTTTGCACCAATATCTGAATGCTTTTTGTTTTGTTTTGGTTTAGGGTCACACCCGGCTGTACTCAGGGGTTACTCCTGGCTCTGCTTTCAGGGATCACTCATGGCAGGCCTTCAAGGATCATATGGGATGCCAGAGAACCTGGGTTGGCCAAGTGCAAGGCACCTATCTGCTGTACTATCCCTCCAGTCTCTGGATGCAACTTAATAATGAAGTTTATTTGTATCAGGTGCTGGAGCGATAGCCTTACAAGCGGCCAACATGGCCGACCCGAGTTCGATTCCTCCGCCCCTCTCAGAGAGCCCGGCAAGCTACCGAGAGTATCTCGCCCGCACGGCAGAGCCTGGCAAGCTACCCGTGACGTATTCGATATGCCAAACACAGTAACGACAAGTCTCATGATGGAGACGTTACTGGGTCCGCTTGAGCAAATCGATGAACAACGGGAGGACCATGCTTATTTATATCAGAACTTAAGAACTGGGATTGGGGAAATAAAAACTGACTTGCCTATAGAAAAGTGCCAGCTGATGTCTGTGGGATCTGCACTAACTCTGGAAGTTAGTGTCAGAATTGAATCAGAAGTGGGGTCAGAAAATAAAAACACAATATTCACCTTAACTTAAAATATGCTAATGCAGGAGCCAAAGAGAGAGTTCAGCAGGTAAGATACTTGCATTGCCCATGGCTGACCCAAAGCACCCTGAGGGTCACCTAAGCCCTGCCAGGAGCATCCCTAAGCACAAAGTCAGAAATAAGCCCTGAGAATTGCTGGGTGTGCACCCCAACCCCACACCCAAAAATAAAATACACTAATGTGGTTTACACTTGAAATTCATTTCCCCCTTGAAGTAACGTTCTTTAATACTTAGATGTGAAACAATAGCCATTATAAAAATCAAGAGACTAATGACCCTGAATTTCACAAAGTCTTCCTTATCTACCCAATAGAACAGCTGCATGATTTGACAGAATCAGCACCATCTGTCTCTCCTATCAAATCCAGTCAACTATACAGAATGCAGTTCGTTAAGTTACAGTAGCACAACTAAAATGCAATGTGTCTTGTTTTGGTTCAGGGCCACACCTAGCTGCGCTCAGTTATTATTTCTGGCCCTGTACTCAGGATATGCGGATCAAACCAAGTTCAGCCAGGTACAAGGCAAGCAGCACCCTACCCACTATACTATCTCTCTGGCCCCTAAAGTACAATTTTTAAACATAAGCACCTGTGATTATTAAGAAATCTAAAGCACTCAAATTACAAAGATAAATCTTCTGCATCCACACATATATGGATGTGCTAACACTCCTACTGACAGGCAGCAGCCTGCCAACTAGTTGCTGAGACACTGCTGTATTACCCTATTTGGTCCTGCATCAGAACATAAAAATGAAGACAAACAGTATGCATTTTTAGAAAGCCCTGACTCCAAATTCTATTACACCTTCACCCTAAAACGAACTACAAAATATAACAGCAACTCCTATAGTGGTAATATTGATGAAGAAAAAATTCTGATTCCCAGTCAGGGCCACTATCTGTGAGGGGGGTTAGCACAATCTCATCAAGCCTGCCACGGTTTCCTCCAGGTGCTCTGATTTCCTACCATA